AGCATAGATGACTCAAGTAAATGGACAATGTCCCATGGGGAGCCTGTCCTTTATCCCTTATGAGTTTCTTCCCACTGGGGCCTGGGTTACAGCTTTTGGTCTGGTGGATTGATAAAACACCGTGAGGGTGGGAGGCTGGCTGGAAGATATGGAAGCCCTGTCTTTGACCACTGGTGTCAAGCAGAGGTGGGAAGAGAGGAAAGGAGCCACTGTGCTTTGTTCCAACATTCCACCCACCAGGAGTAGGGGAGAAGAGGGTAAGGCCCCTAGATCTGGGTCACATTTGTTATGACCTAGCTCACATTTCTTTTTCTTTTCTTTTTTAAAATATGAAATGCTTCACAAATTTGCATGTCATCCTTGCGCAGGGGCCATGCTAATCTCTGTATCATTCCAATTTTAGTATATGTGCTGCCAAAACAAGCACCCAACTTCTGTTTATATCAAATAATCATGATATCAACTGTCCCCTCTTTCTTTCCTGCATCATCCACTTACCTCTCTCCTGGAACATACACATAAGCATGCAGACATGCTGCAATAGTACCCATCTGAAAAACCCAAAAACTTCATAAGACCCCACGTTATTGCCCAAGATTGCTCCATTTCAGTGCTCCATTTTACTGCAAAAATCAAAAGGGTTGATTTAATTACTAGAGCCGATATCTTTTCTTTTCTTTTCTTTTCTTTTTTTTTTGAGACGGAGTTTTGCTCTTGTTGCGCAGACTGGAGTGCAGTGGTACGATCTCAGCTCACTGCAACCTCCGCTTTCTGGTTTCAAGCAATTCTCCTGCCTCAGCATACTGAGTAGCTGGGATTACAGGTGCCCACCAACACTCCCAGCTAATTTTGGCAATTTTAGTAGAGAGGGGGTTTCACCATGTTGGCCAGGGTAGTCTCGAACTGCCGACCTCATGATCTGCCCACCTCGGCCTCCCAAAGTGCTGGGATTACAGGCATAAGCCACTGTGCCCAGCCCAAACCATCTTTCCTAAAACAGAAGTCTGATTAATTCATTTGTCTGCTCAAAATTTTCCAATGAGTCCCCATCTCACTCAAAGTAAAGGCCAAAATCTTTACAGGGACCTCCTTCCTAGCCCTCCAGCTTCATTGCCTACCACTCTCTTCCTTGTGAATTCCTCCTCACCAGCCCCGCTGGCCTCTTTTCTAATCCTTTGAACCAAGCATGCTCCTTTCTAAGGGTCTGTGCACCTGCTTTTCTGTCTTCTAAAATGCTCTTCCTCAGATCTCTCCATGCATTTGTTCCCTCGGTTTGTTTTCCCTCCCCCTTTATAAAATAGAATCCCACTACTAATCTCTTTTACTCTGCTTCATTTTTCTCTATATCAATTTTGACCATGGATGACTTTAAAGGCTTGAAGTTGAAAATCAGTAGCAAACCACCCCCCTGGAATAGGGGTAGAGGTAAGATGTTAGAGGGGAGAGGGGCTTTGCCTTGGCTTTGGGATCTGGGAGGAAGCAGGGCACCAGGGTTGAGAGTTTGTGGGCAGAGGAGCCTACCCTCCTTTGAAGCACCCGCAGGCAGCACTGCCCCATTGGACTAGGAAGGCATAGCCCATCCATTAGGCCTGAGTAGAGAAGGGGGCAAAAATTCTGTCTAAGGTAATCCCATGGATTTGTTGGGGTCGACTGCTGAAAGTGGGGCTTTCCTCAGAGTCCAGTATACAGTCGGCCCGCAGACCCTTTGGTGCCTCCAGGTGGTGGCCTACAGTGCTGCAGCAGAAGGCGCATTAGGCAGAGGGTGGGCAGCGCAGCTGAGCTCACCGCCACGGGCGCATCCATCCCTCCTGGGCCTATAATTTGGGTTCCCCAGGCCTGGCCGCCCCTATCAGCGGCTCAGCAACAGATGAGTCACCCGGGACCCCGGGCCAAGGCAAACATGGGGGGAGGAGGAGGAGGAGGCTTCCGAGGCTTTAGCCACCGCCTCAGTTGCTCGACATCCCCCAATCTCCAGGGGCCCCCACTCTTTTCTTTGACCCCCGCCCTCCAGGGCCCCAGTGTTCTTCCCACATTGCTCTTGTTACACCCTCCATCCCTAGGATAGGAAGGGCAGCCCTCCACTCTTCTCATCGAGGGGAAGGGGAACCAGCTTGCTCCTAGATCCTCCCTGCAGTGATGAAAGCCCCCCACTTTCCCCCTCCTGTCATTGGCCCCGACCCACGTCAAGGTCTCTCTGGTTCCCGTCCCTCCCCTTTCTTGGAGCTGGCCGCGTGCTTGGGGTATTAGGCAATGGGTGTGCACCCGCAACCCTCTCCAGGCCCCGCCTGTCCCACCGCCCTCTAGCCGCCTGCGGGTCAGTGCTCA